TAAAACGCTTAATTATTTAAAAAAATTATTTTTAATAACAACTACAAGGCACAAGCATAACAAACAATTTAAAATATTGTCACAATTTTGCCAATAAATAAATGGCCAGATTTACTTAATTCAGAGTCTTAAAAAGGTAGGCAGGTATTTTTTATAATACATTTATAGTTTAGCATTTTTTAAAAACTACCGGTACTAACTACATCATAAAACACAAATTTAAAAAAGGGCCTAATTAGCTAAAACAAAAAATATTGTTTAATAATTTATAGCTCTTAAATATGATATAATATAAACTTTAAAATATATTAAAAATACATTCAATTTAAATAGTTAAATCTAAATCTTTAGCGGGTTTGATGCTTGTATGGCAAACACTTAAATCACTCCTGAAAATAACACTCACTAAAAAGACTAAAAAGATGAGCATATATTCAAATCTCCACAGCTTTGCTTTATTCTATGAAATGTGGGCATTAAAATTAAGTATTTTTATTGGGGGGGGGTGTGTGTGTCATGGTTCATGAAAATCAGGATTTAGCGTTTACACTGATTTACAGGACAGAGCACCTTTGAAAACACGGCATTTAAGTAAATCTGGCTTTTATATAACTTATATAACTTTTATATAACATATAACCATCCCATAAAATCTGTCTTGACCACAGACTCCAACAAACTGTGTGTGTTTGCATGCATTATCTTAAACAGCTTCATATCACATTCATAACATACAAAACATAAAAAAACAAACATTTTTTATTAGCCAAAAACTAATGTTAATACGATACTTTGAAAATCCACCAGAAATATTATATCATCCAGGAAACGTTGTCATACCCTTTTATATTGCAATCATGCATAATATTTAGGATGGATAGTACGCAAATTGTTTAAAATTGTCTCTTGGATCTTAGATACTCTGCTTTAGAGAAAAGTAAGACGATTAATCGCATCCAAAATAAAACTTTGTGTTTACATAATATATGTGAGTACACACATATGCATGTATAAATTTATAATATTTATATTTATATATAATATAAATTATGTATAAATATATATACAGTATATACATGCAAATATTTATTAAATATATACATGCATGTGTGTGTATTTATATAAAATAATTATACACAGCACACACACATATATTATGTTAACACAAACTTTTCTTTTGGATGCGATTAATCGTTGCACAGCTCTAGAAAAAATGCATTGTAGAATATTGTTCTTAGTGTGTCAGTGTGTCACCTGTAGGACTGCAGGATGTCTATGATGCCTATGAAGAGCAGGAGTCTCTCTCCTTTACCACTGACTGCAGGGATCCCACCCATTCTAGAGAGAGAGAGAGAGAGAGAGAGAGAGAGAGAGAGAGAGAGAGAGAGAGAGAGAGAGACAGAGACAGAGAGAGAGAGAGAGAGAGGGAGAGAACACGAGAGATCTGAAATTAAACAGCTCTAAAACAGAATTCAAATCATCCTAAAAGGGGAATATATACACCTGGCAAGATGGGTTTTTAAAGGGGTGCTTGAATATGATTTCACTTTTCTAACTTTAGTTAGTGTGTAGTGTTGCTGTTTGAGCATAAACAACATCTGCAAAGTTACGACGCTCAAAGTTCAAAGCAAAGGAAGATATTTGCTTTTAAAGAAAAGGACTACAACAAACGGCTGGTAGGAACTACACGAGCTTCCTCCCGGGTTAGTGACATCACCAACCCTAAAATTTACATAAACCCCGCCCCCGGAACACGCAGTCCATGTTGAGAAGAGGAAAAGTTGTTGTATATTAAGAGTACATTTGTGAGTCAGCTCAAACTTTAGCATCCATCTTTTCACATGTCACATTTCAGAAAGTCACTCTGTGTGCATCTCACAACAGTTCCTATACGAGCGATTTATAGATTATCCTAACAGAATATGCTAATTGAAGATAGTTACCTCCACATCAGCAACATAAATTCATCAACAAACCATTCAGAGACGTCCTGTTGCATTCTACATGTTGTCACTTCTTCTTGAGTCTCTCCATCTGTGTCTGACTCCGTTTTAACATTGAAGGCAGAACAGTTTCTGTCATTTTAGTGTGTTTCTGCGTGAGGTAATCAGACCTGCTAACACACGAGCTCTTGAAGCTCCGCCCACTGTGTCGGGAGCTGCAGCTCATTTGCATTTAAAGGGCCAGACTGAAAAACGGTGCGTTTTTGCTCACCCTCAAAAAGTGACAACTTTAACATGCTATATAAAAATATCTGTGGGGTATTTTGTGCTAAAACTTCACACACACACTCTGGGGACATCCCCAGATAGCAATGAGTCGGCGGACCACCGTCGGTTCTCCGGCGGCAGTAGAAGCGTCAGAATGGCGACATCGCAAACACGTTGGACGGCGCACCGCCGGCGGCAGCCGCTTTTTAAAAGCGGCAGCCGCCTTCCTACCGCCTTCGTTAAGCGGCCGGCCCGCGGGCCAACCGCCGTTCCGCCGCCTTTATATTGAAGGCCGTCCTTCCGCGGCCCGCCGGAGGCAAACGCTATTTTCGAGCGCTCTGCCGCCGCTTATTCTGGCTATATATATATATATATTTTTATTTATTTATTTATTTATAGCATGCAGTTTATCAAGAATAATAATTGCTCAAACCAGACAAATTTACAATTGGCATTTTTATTCTACATTTCAAAGTACAGTAACTGTCATTTAAACAAGATGTTTCAGATCACTGAAACATAACAGAAAAATAAATAAATCAATATACTAACATGCAGGTTTCCAATTCAATTTTGGTTAAACAGCCTTACAAGCAAATTACAACACTTACAATAAGTGTTCATATAAAAAGGACAGTTCTAGGGTAAAAAATTACCAGTAAACATTATGACAAGTAAAGAGGATATTTGATGCCAAATAATGTGCAAGATACCAAATAAATAAAAGTATAACTACATTTACAAGCCATTTCTAACAATATGATAAGTGGTAGTAATTTATAGTAAAGCTCTGGAGTAGAATAGGCCTTTATAACGGCAATGCTGACCTGTGGCACAAGGATTTACAAGCTTTATTTGAAAAAGAAAAAAAGAAAGTAATTTCCACAGTGAGTGAGTGTAGTCTGACACTTCTGACTTCTTTAGGGGTCTTGATTCTACTGACTGCAAGATAAAGAAAGGATTCCAGTTGTCAGTGATTCTGGGGTGTCAGTAGTCAGTCTAGTTTTAAGTGGTCGGCTGTGGGTCCCTCTCAGCTGTGCGGCGCCTTTTTCTGCCTTCACGGTCAGATGCTCCTTTCAGGTAACGCGTAACGTTAACCTGGACCGCCTCATCAGTGCATCCAGGGTTGCCGGGTCCTTCCGGATGGCTAATATAGAAAATACAGATCTGTCATTTAATTTGAATTGCATGAGGACAATAGGACATACATATCTACTTAAATCTAAAAAAAATATCCAACTTACTTTGAACAATGGTCTTCAGGAACATGTCTCTAAAACATGCTTTATCCCCTACACCAAGCTGAAAATCCAAAAAAGTGTTACAAATTACATTTCTCTGAAGCTTCTCATAAATAAATAAAAAATGTGAAAGGCTAAGGATTCAGACTGTAATATATGCAGTATACAATGTTAAATTTTACTTTATATCTAGGTCTACTACATGTACAGGTAGCCCCAGTGGGAATTAAACCTACAACCACAGGTGCTGTTTGCAAGTTGTACCTAATTGCTCAGTGCAAGCAAACGTCTTCAACATTGTTTGTTGAACTTGCTTCACCTGCTCTTGAAGTAAGATTTTACAATTCGTATTTTTATATGTAATATTGTAGTGTTTATTATAAATGATTTATCTGTGCACTTCATTATTCTTTTAAAATTCATGTAGCCTTATAATCTTTAATCAAATACGTTACCCTTCCCTCCCCCCTCGAAACGACTTCTCTTCTCTTCCGGTCATGTGCTATGGCGCGAGGGCGTGGCAACTCCCCTCAAACCGTGCTATGAGCAGAGATGGAGAAGAGGAGCGCTAGAGTAAAACCCTGCCCTCCGTTCAATATACTTTTTCACTTTTAAATACGTCACAACACTGGAGAAAAGTCGTCTGTAACTTCCGGTTCATGCCGACTTCAAATAGAAGCAATAGTTTCCAAGACAAAAAAACTTCACAAATAACATCACTTACTTGTACTCAAACTCTTGGCTCTGTGAAGTGGAGTCTGGATTACTGGGGAGAAACCTGGTTGCGAGAAAGAGGAAACAGAAATTTGAAAATCTAACAAATGGTATAGTTTAGTGGCAGGATCACAAATCCAGCATCACAGCAATAGATTTTACATACCAGTTCAGCATTTTCCTGGTTTTCTGGAATCGATGCATCTTTCTAGAGTTTTTTTTCTTGAGACTTACAAGATTCTAGAGTAGGGAATAATGAATGAAAGAGTCAGTTATCCACAATAAACAGAAAATAAATTACACAGATGAAATAAAGGAAAATCAAATACACAAGTCAGACCCATTTACCTGCTCCCTTCATGAACTTAAAATGAATTTCTCCCAGGTGCTGTGTGGAGGTGTGCAGAGGATGGCTAAATTGTTGCCTTCGTCTTTTTGCTGAGGTTAAATGGGGGCCAATGGCACATGCTCTCGCTGAGCCACTCTTGCGGAACCACTGCAAATGGCAGATCCTCCTCGTTGATAAACTGAACAATGTGAACCATCTAAAATAGAAGAACATTTTGCATAAAGTATACTTTTTGATTAATTTCCAGGCAAAATCAATAACATTAAAATGCTCACCCCTTCAAAAAACGAGTCATTTTCACAAGTGAAAAAACAGAAAACCATGTTCAGAAAAACACAATCATATACATATACACACATATATACATATACACACATATATACATATACACACACATATACATATATATATATATATATATATATATATATACACACACACACATACATCGTTATTTTTGTAAGAAAACACCAAAAGTTAAACTTTCTAGATGTAAAGCTTTCTTTCTAGATGTAAAGCTTTGGCGATCTACTGTAGCTAGATACATTTCAACATGTCGAACATGCTTGAATTCAGTGAGTAAAAAAGGCGAAGCAGCATGTGTTAGCTAACACTGTAAGTTAAACTAGACTAGCAGCATGGTTGTCGAATAAAACAAAACATCATTATGTTTAGTTAGAAAACAACACAAGTTATAACGTTACTGATCAGTCTTTCTTGTCGTAAAGATTTTGCTAACGTTACCATTCCCAGCCGGCACACGACCGACCTTCAACGTTGATATATGGTTGAAATAATGTCAGTTGTTGTTTCAACGTTGAAACAACGTTGATATAACGTTTAATGCTAAATGGTTGAAAACCAACCGGTACATGACCAACCTTCAACGTTGAAATATGGTTGAAATAATGACAGTTGTTGTTTCAACGTTGAAACAACGTTGAAATAACGTTTAATGCTAAATGGTTGAAAAAGGTTAACAAAAACACTTCTAAATCAACGTTGAAATTTTTACAAGATCTGTACGTTGAAACAACGTAATGTTTTCAACAACATACAACAGAAATATCTGCCTTTTAACGTATCATTATGATAATTAATTAGCATTTAATGATTTTTTGATCATAACAGCTCTTCAGTGTATATGTTAAAATATAATTATTATCATTATTAACAATACTAGTTTCACTTTCAAGAGAGCAGTGCAGCAGAAACATTTTGCTTTATGTGAATTTGTGTGAATTTACAATTTTGTCTGCATTCCTAACATTACATTATGACATTTGTATTCATACACTGTCATGTCATTTGACCAATTAATTAAATAATAATACAGACTGCAAATAAAACTTAATACACCGCAATGTTAACTCGCGCAAACTGTTATTGGATGTTTCGCATTTTTACTTTGAGCATGATTGGTTGATATGTCTGTCTTCCAGGAAACCGTCCAATGAGAATTTGCGTGGCTCTGCGCGCCTATTTTAAGTTTGAAAATACGTCCGTTACTCTCGGTCGGTAAACAGCTGCTGCTTGCGTTGATTACTCGGTCAGACCTGGATTATTTTATATCTGCCTGTTGAATTCTTACATTTTGAGCGAATTTGAGTTGATATGTCAATGAAGAACAAAAGCTGGAATGTGAACAGAGGGATACTGGTGATATCAGGTAAGAAAACATTTTCAGTCTTACGTTAACGTTTAGGGACACGGGTAACGTTAACTTAATGGTCATAGGCTTACTGCAACCTCATAAATAAGTTATCTCTGTGTGTGTTTTTGTACTGCTTCATTAGCGTAGCGATATTAGCACGTATTTCAATGTAACATTAGTAAGTTACCATCTGACATTGCTGTGTTTTGTTGTTGGTAACGTTGTATTTAATGTTGTCAGCTAAAGAATGAGTAATGTGATCAAACCGTCATTTATTCGTTAGAAGTATGTTTACATAACCTATTCAAACACTGATAACGATATTGAAAATAATTTTGTTTACATTTTTTTTTTCTAGATCAAGCATTGGAATACGATTTTTATCGGGGGAGAACACCCAACAGAAAGACCCATTCACAACTAAAGTAAGTCAATTTTACCCACTGTTAGAAAACCTACACTGGGATTAATATATAGTATTAAGTATGATTTTCATCTTTAAAGTAAGACATTTAACGTTACAGATAGAAAGTCTGAGTAACTTTTTGTCCTTTTGTCTTTCTTCTGCTGAAGTGGGGCACTGAAAGGGGATTCATGTCACCTTCATCAGTTCTTTCTTTAATTACTGGAAACCATTAAGAGGAAGACCCTCAGATGTGTCATAATAGGATAAATGCGGCTGCAGGTAAAATTATTTGATGGTTTGATTTTGGTGTACCAAACAGCTTTTTTTGTGTGTGCTTCCCTTGCTATGATACACATTTCTGATGTGATTGCCATGCTTTAAGTGTATGTTTACATTTTTAATCATGTAATAACTAACAGTCTCAAAGATGACATTACTCCGTTCATGTTGTGTGAATGTTATAATGGCAAACGTTTTTACAATTTAAATCAATTTTAAAATTGTTTAAAGGAATGGTAAAAATATATATATATATATATATACTGCTTTAAGGACTTTTTATTGAAAAATTTCTTCTTTCCCCCCTTCAGATTTGCCAAGGATCCCGCTGATTACTGGTAATTTGGTGGAGGATTATTCTTTAGCTGCTACATTGCACTATCACTTCTGGTACGGATTCATTGACCTTTTGTGTTATTTTTTTATTTTACTTAATTTAATAAATGACTTTTAATTAGTGCAATGTATGGTTAGGATTCTGAATTAAAACAGTGTAATGTTTCTCCACAAATATTATCAGAAATATACGGAAATTGTTGAAACAATATAAACCTGCATTGAAAGATAAGTCAAAGAGCAACAGACCACAACCCTCTCAGCTCAACACCAAAATTTGTTGATTTCTTCATCTGTTTTAAGGATGAAATCATGACCTTATGATTATAGTTACCGTAACTGACACATGAGTAATATTAAATTTTTTACAATTCCACCTTGGGGCTCTGAAGAATTGCTTGTGTAAATTTTCATCTGAATACATCAAATATGTGTTTAGCATGGATAGTGTTGTATTTGTTTTCTAACTCTAATTGAACTGTAAAGTGAAAATCTTGTACATGTCTTATTTTTTATTCATTTAAAATGCTTTTATTTATACAGGATAGTACAGACAGTGGGCAAGAAGTGAAGAGGGAGAGATGGCATCGGAATGGACCTCGAGCTGGGACCCTGTCGGAGCACTGCACTCACATTTTATTGAGAATTTAAAAACTTTTGTACTGTACATTTTAAATATTAAATGTTTAATTTAAGGGTTACTGTAATTGAACAAAAACTATCTTTAAATATCCCATTTAGATGTCTACTTCTACAGGTTTTTAACATTACTTCGAAAACGCTGCAATTTAAAGTTTGAGATGTTTTTCATCTGTTTTAGAAAGTATTTTTAGACTTGTTTTTTTCAGAATAAAACTTGTTTTACAATTTGAGCATTTGTTATTTCTTTATTAAATGTGTTTAATTAAGCTGCTGCAAGTAATTTGAAAGTTAAATTTTTTTTAGTGTAGGCCTACAGTTAATCACAAATTCAGTCAGCATTGTCATGACTATGTTCCAACTGCAAACTAGGTTGTAATTGAATGTACAATTGTATTATCCCATGATGAAAGGTAAGACTGTTGATTCAGTTTGCAAAACCGAAGCATAATTCTAAATTGGTTCAATGTCGACATACAACCTTTATTCACCCATATTGAAAGAAGAGACGGTGAAACAACGTCACGATTTCAGCGTTGATTCGTTTTGCAAAATCGAAAGGTGATTCAACGTCGACAGAAGACCATAACCCGAAAGGTAAGAGTGAAACGACGTCGCGATTTCAACGGTGAATCAACGTTGTTTCTTCCGCGGTGAAACGACGTCACAATATCAACGTTGATCCGTTTTGCAAAACCGACAGGTAATTCACCGTTGATTCAACCATGGTACCTGACGTTGTTTCAACGGTGAATCAACGTTGAAATGCCGGCTGGGTTCCCACGTGGGCGGGAGAATTGTCCTTCAGGATTTAGTTACGTAAGTTAGTTAATTATTCGACTGACCAATACTATCTTAAACCACATACTGTAGTACTCACACTTGCATAAACATACGTAAATATAGTTAAAAGAAGAAAAGAAAAAACTAACGCCAGGAAGAAACTAAGTAACGTTAGCCTAACTAACATTAGCGCTATGTCAGAAACATGACGCAAACTTTGTAAACAGGCTAACTTACTAGCTTGACTAGTAAGGCAAGAACATATTTGAAAAAGATGACCTAAAAATGTAAAAAATGAACATAATATTGCGTTACACAAAAAGGAAAAATATACTTACTTTAAAGATCGTAGTCAATGACTAGATAGGATATCCTCTCCAAATACTGAAATCGTGTGACGAGTGGCCACTGTTGTGTTGGTAAATCTGCTTCCGTTTTTTAGGTACTGCCCCTCTCGGCCGGTGGAGGTACTTCTCTGTTTGTGCTTTAATACTTTCTTAAACATTTGTACAGATTGCAAAACTCGCAATTGCAAATTAATCCCTTATACCTGTAAAAGGTAAAAAAAATAAAAAAAATCGAACTTGTAAAAAAATGAAAGACATAAACGAAATTTCCTGGGGTGACAGAGAGACAAAATATTTCTAAATATTTCACTTTATCTTTCAGGTCAAAACAGGGATTTTCATGTTTATTATAAATATTACCATGGTTGCAAATTAATAAAAAAAATCTAAAGCATACCCAAGCTTTTGGCCAAGTTGCAGATGTCTTTCACTGTTCACTGATTTCAGGCATTGGTGAAAAGTCTAACTTCATCCATTTATTCTGCTAAATTGTTCATACCATGAATGAAATATTTATTTTAAAACCTAATCAGAATCAGAAGTATATTTATTGCCAAGTAAGTTTTACAAAAGGAATTCTTTTTGGACTATTTGTGCATCTCAATTGTGCATAAATCAAAGAAATGAATTGTCACCTTAAGTGAATAAAATAATTCTATATATTTTACATAGGCCTATCACTGAATCGCTTCAGAGTTTCAACGTAATTTAAATGTATTTTCCTAAACCTTATCATGGAATCAGACTGAGTCAAATCTGTTATAAACCCTAATGACTTTGGTACCTAAAAATTTGATATAATTCACATAATAATTATAATCGCTTTAAATGTGAAAGTTAAAATGCTGTCAGTTCCACTCATGCCAATGACATGGCTGGTCGATTTCAAAGCGGCTTGCCGCCAGCCGGCCGCGGTTCATTTAGACGGCGGCAACCGCCAGAGAGAATGAAGTCGGCGGCCCGGCGGCTGTTCGCCGGCGGCATCTCGCAAGAAATGGGAGTGACGTATTCGGCGGCAAACGTTTCTTCTCCGCCAGCGGGGCGCACCTATAGCCGACAGTTTGGGGCCGGCGGCAAAAAGAAGCCGTGCCGATATTTTTTGCTATCTGGGTCAGAGATTTATTTTACATCTTGTGAAAATGCCATTTTACCACCCCTTTAATAAAGCATGGTTGTCTGTGCAGTAGCAATGGAAAAACACTTTTGAAATTGGTGCTACATGACTAGAGAGAACAGAGAAAAAGGACTGTGGCGTTTCATTCGCCCAAAACTTCATCAAACGGTGACAATATTTCTGTAATCAGTGCCGGTCCTAGACTTCTGGAGGCCATAAACAAAACTATGTAAGCCTAGAAACTATTACCAGGCTACTCGGGTCCCCCTGGTGCTTTAGAGAATCCTAGCATTGGTGATTTGTTGCTTTTTGCCGTATCGACTCGTATCGAACCATGACCCAAAACAGAGGTGCGTATCGAACCGTGACTTCTGTTTCCCGTTCCTTTCCTGAAACACAACACATACGTGTCTTCGGTGTCGAGCGAGTCTCCGCACGCGGCTCCTCCCTGGATGGACTCCATGGCGGTGGAGTAAAGCGCTCTCTGAGCGGCCGGCCTCTTCTCGTCGCTGCTCTGAGATCCCTCCATCTGATGCTCTCGCTCCGCCTGGTCCAGGTTATGAACCCCCAACAACAAGCTGTAGTCCATGATCTTAAAACTCTCCAACACCTGCACACACACATCAGCAGTGTTGGGGGAAACTCAGTACAGGTGACTCGAGGTACGTAATCAGATTACTTTTTCAAGTAACTAGTAAAGTAACGCATTAAGGCCCTTGGACAGCAATGCACACTGAGTCGTATTCGTGATTCGGTGGCTCTGAGATGTTAAAACACCTCTCAAACTGCTCGCTACGGATGCAAAAAACGCAGAAAATCGAACCCGATCCGATTTTTTTTATGGCGGATAAAAGTTTCGGAGGCCGTGTGTAAGCGTGATTGACATAACGTGAGGTCGTATTAATTTTTTTACGTGCAAAAATTTCGGACTCAGTGTGCAAGGGCCTTTACTTTTAAAATTTACAACAAAATATCATCCATCCATCCATCCTCTATCCATCCATCCATCCTTCCATCCATCCATCCTTCCATCCATCCTTCCATCCATCTATCTATCCATCATCTATCATCCATCCATCCATCCATCCTCTATCCATCCATCTATCTATCCATCCATCCATCCATCCATCCTCTATCCATCCATTCATCCATCCTCTATCCATCCATCCATCCATCCTCTATCCATCCATCCATCCATCCATCCATCCTTCCATCCATCCTTCCATCCATCCTTCCATCCATCCATCTATCCATCCATCCATCCATCCTCTATCCATCCATCCATCCATCCATCCATCCTTCCATCCATCCTTCCATCCATCCATCCATCCATCCATCCTCTATCCATCCATCCATCCATCCATCCATCCATCTATCTTTGTTCTCCCATTTATTGACTGACAGCTCTCTTGTCCTCATGTTGAGACAAATCGAAGTGCAGAGGCGTTGTGTGTGTGTGTGTGTGTGTGTGTGTGTGTGTGTGTGTGTGAACATGAGGGTTATTGTAGTTCTAAACTAAATGTAAGCGTGCATTTACTCATCTCACTTGCACACAAAAAAACGATTCAATATTCCTCAAAATGAATGAAATCAATGAAATGCAGAATCAGAATCATACAATGCAAACCTCCAATAACTAAATATGTTAAATAAAACATTTTAATGCAATTAATCTCACTTTATTGACCAATGTACTTGCTTCTGACCTTCGATGATTCAGTTAAATTTTTTTGTTTTTATTGGTAAAGTGTAAGTCTTTTTTCTCCTGCATCTTATTCTTGCATTAATTTTAGTATCACTATATATCGTATACTGTGTATTATAAATGTTTTATTGTTGTACTTTTATTGTGTGAGTAGTGTCCTGTTGTTGTATTTAACCTGTGAAGCACCATGGTCAACTTTGGTTGTTTTAAGTGTGCTATATATAAATAAAATTGATTGATTGATTGCGTTGTCCAGAACAGCTGAAAGGTTAGTTTGAGCCTCTACTGTACACGCGTGAATCTGCATTTCCTTCAGCCTGAGGCTTATTATTTCATTTTTGGTGTGAAAGGGTCTTTACATTTGCCCAAAAATATAACTTTTTTTGTTATAAAAAAAACAAGCCCAGCCCAGGTAAAAAAAAAAAAAAAAAATTCATGCAAAAGTAACGTAACGCATTACTTTTCTAAAAAAGTAACTAACGCAATTAGTTACTTTTTAAGGGAGTTAAGGTCCTTGCACACTGAGTCCGAAATGTTCGTATGTGTTTTTTCGTATTCATGATTCGGTGGCTCTGAATTGTCAAAACACCTCTTAAAATGCTTGCTACGAATGCGGAAAACGCAGAAAATCGAACCCGATCCGAATTTTTTTATGATAGACGAGAGTTTCGGCGGCAGTGTGTAAACGTGAGGTCGTATTTATTTTTTAACGAGCGAAAATTTCGGACGCGAATTTCGGACTCAGTGTGTAAGGGCCTTAACGCACTATTGTAATGCATTACTTTTCAAAGTACAGGTGAAACTCGAAAAATTTGAATATCGTGCAAAAGTTCATTTATTTCAGTAATTCAACTTAAAAGGTGAAACTAATATATTATATAGACTCATTACATGCAAAGTGAGATATTTCAAGCCTTTATTTGTTATAATTGTGATGATTATGCCTTACAGATATGAAAACCTTTTCACAATATTCTAATTTTGAATGTGAGGTTTAAGCCATAATCATCACAATTATAACAAATAAAGGCTTGAAATATCTCACTTTGCATGTAATGAGTCTATATAATATATTAGTTTCACCTTTTAAGTTGAATTACTGAAATAAATGAACTTTTGCACCTGAGTTTCACCTGTAGCTTTCCCCAACACTGCACATCAGACCTTCATTATAAAACTGTCCCGCACTAAACCGAGCGCATCCACAGAGACACACTCACCAGACAGTCTCTCTGGAGTGTTTTGACCAGGGCGTTGTACGTGTCCACATCTAACAGGAGTCCGTCTTGAACGTCCTGCATGAAGTCCAGGTCTTTGAACGTGGGCCTGGACTTCTCACGCTCCTTCTTGGACGCTCTGCGCTTGCAGGTGGAGCCCTTCAGGTCGAACTTGAGGTGCATGCGGATGGCGCGGGGCAGGACGTTATTCATCACCACGATACGGATGTTCTTCCCGCCGGACTGAACGCAGTACAAACCGAAGAACTTGGGAAGAAGGGTGCGAGGATTCTGGTTCAGGTTCTGAGAGAGAGAGAGAGAGAGAGAGAGAGAGAGAGAGAGTGAGAGAGAGAGAGAAAGAGAGAGAGAGAGAGAGAGAGAGAGAGAGAGAGAGAGAGAGAGAGAGAGAGAGAGAGAGAGAGAGAGAGAGAGAGAGAGAGAGAGAGAGAGAGAGAGAGAGAGAAAACATTTAATGCATGTATACTGTATACACTCACCGGCCACTTTATTAGGTACACCTGTCCAACTGCTCGTTAACACTTAATTTCTAAGCAGCCAATCACATGGCGGCAACTCAGTGCATTTAGGCATGTAGACATGGTCAAGACAATCTCCTGCAGTTCAAACCGAGCATCAGTATGGGGAAGAAAGTTGATTTGAGTGACTTTGAACGTGGCGTGATTGTTGGTGCCAGAAGGGCTGGTCTGAGTATTTCAGAAACTGCTAATCTACTGGGATTTTCACGCACAACCATCTCTAGGGTTTACAGAGAATGGTCCGAAAAAGAAAAAACATCCAGTGAGCGGCAGTTCTGTGGGCGGAAATGCCTTGTTGATGCCAGAGGTCAGAGGAGAATGGCCAGACTGGTTCGAGCTGATAGAAGGGCAACAGTGACTGAAATAACCACTCGTTACAACCGAGGTATGCAGCAAAGCATTTGTGAAGCCACAACACGCACAACCTTGAGGCGGATGGGCTACAACAGCAGAAGACTCCACCGGGTACCACTCATCTCCACTACAAATAGGAAAAAGAGGCTACAATTTGCAAGAGCTCACCAAAATTGAACAGTTGAAGACTGGAAAAATGTTGCCTGGTCTGATGAGTCTCGATTTCTGTTGAGACATTCAGATGTTAGAGTCAGAATTTGGCGTAAACAGAATGAGAACATGGAACCATCATGCCTTGTTACCACTGTGCAGGCTGGTGGTGGTGGTGTAATGGTGTGGGGGATGTTTTCCTGGCACACTTTAGGCCCCTTAGTGCCAATTGGGCATTGTTTAAATGCCACGGCCTACCTGAGCATTGTTTCTGACCATGTCCATCCCTTTATGGCCACCATGTACCCATCCTCTGATGGCTACTTCCACCATGTCACAAAGCTCTAATCATTTCAAATTGGTTTCTTGAACATGACAATGAGTTCACTGTACTAAAATGGCCTCCACAGTCACCAGATCTCAACCCAATAGAGCATCTTTGGGATGTGGTGGAACGGGAGATTCGCATCATGGATGTGCAGCCGACAAATCTGCGGCAACTGTGTGATGCCATCATGTCAATATGGACCAAACTCCCTGAGGAATGCTTCCAGCACCTTGTTGAATCTATGCCACGAAGAATTGAGGCAGTTCTGAAGGCAAAAGGGGGTCCAACCCGTTACTAGCATGGGGTACCTAATAAAGTGGCCGGTGAGTGTATATATTTATATATAATTTATATTATATATAAATGACAAATTTTTCTTAAATATATACATGCATGAGAAAACACAGTGTAGCGCCACTTAATGCGGGAATTCACATGAGAAAGTTTTGCTAACGTTTCCATTTAGTTATGGAAAAGTTGGTTACACTTTATTTGAAGGTGTCATTGTTACAGTGTAATTATATATTTAAGCACTGAGTGATATTAATCAACTACATGTACTTACTATAGGGTTAGGGATTGGATTAGGGTTTGGTTGAGGGTTAGTTGCATGTAATTATGCATAATTTACTCTTATTACTATGGTAAGTACATGTAACATATGTAACAAGGACACTGTAAAATAAAGTGTTACTGAAAAGTCACTTCTGAATGTTCTCTGAAGTTTTAAAAATTGGAACATTCCATTTGATCATGTTGTAAGTATTATTAGAATGTTACTTTTGAATGTTCTCTGAACATTCCGAGACTAGAAACATTTAAAAATGTTAAAAGATCGTCCAACTAAAACAGTGTGTGTGGGGGGGGGGGGGGACGTTTCATGAAGGATGTATGTGTTTTTGTGCTGACGTTTTGAGAACATTATTAAAAAGACCAGATAACTTTGAATAACATTATATTTACGTTACTGGAAGAATGTTTGTTCATAACTAATGAACAACTAATATAAATCATAACTAATGAATGTTTTGCCAGAACATTCCCTGTTAGCTGGTATGCAATAGAAATGCAAAAAAAATTTTTTAAATAATTTTTGCCAAAAACTTGGGTGACCAGGTCTCTGTTATGTAACAAAAATCTCACTTATTATTATGTATTAGTCAAAAATGGAGACAATACATGTTTGTATGTTTTTGTTTTTAAATGTTGTGGGTTCCATATTATTAATTATTATTATGATGATGTTTGAAAAGTCAATCTGACCCTAATAGTAAATGGTAACCACTGCAAATAGCAAATTGATCAAACAGCATTTTAACAAAATAATGGCTTTTTAAAAACACATCACAAAAATTAAAACAAAATATTAATATTGTAAAACTGATAGAAAGTTACTAGTTAATAGTAGTTATTAGTGGGAATTGGACCGTAAACTAAAGTGTTACCCAAATGTTAATCAAATGTCATTTTACATATGCTTATTATTTGCATTTTAGGCCACAAATTAAGCACATATTTGTGGCATTTAAAATGACTCGAAAATTTTGTTTCAATCCCTAAAACAAATGAAAAAGAAAAGTACCTTAAAATGATCTAAATTACTTGCAACATTTATGGAATCCCTCCCCTTAAATTTAATTAAATTTGTTATCATTTGCTAATGTTTTTCGATCGTCAAATAATGCAAAATTATGCATTTTGAGTCATTTAAAGGACTTTTGCTGACAAATAAACAGAGATATCTGGGTAAAAAAAAAGAGTACATATTGTTTATTTACATATACTAATTACAATACAAAACCTGATAAAAAATCAGCAAACTTATCCTTTAATTCAGATTTGTGCTGTCTATGTTTGTCACATTGTACTGAAAATGAGGCATTTGAAAACTGCACTTTTTTAAGTACTTAAAAATATATATTTAGACACATAACTATGTCATAAAAACTGCATCCCGATCACAAACTCACACATACAGCCAGGTGAAACTCTAAAAATTAGAATATCGTGCAAAAGTTCATTTATTTCAGTAATTCAACTTAAAAGGTGAAACTAATATATTATATAGACTCATTACATGCAAAGTGAGATATTTCAAGCCTTTATTTGTTATAATTGTGATGATTATGGCTTACTGATTTGAAACCCTTTTCACAATATTCTTGGGGTTTTAATAAGCTGTAAGCCATAATCATCAAAATTATAACAAATAAAGGCTTAAAATATCTCACTTTGCATGTAATGAGTCTATATAATATATTAGTTTCACCTTTTAAGTTGAATTACTGAAATAAATGAACTTTTGCACGATATTCTTTGTGTTTTCATGCACAAATTCATTACCTAAACTTCATCATGACTTCACTTACTCTTATTGCTGCATTCACATCACAGTCATAACATGTTTAAACAATTTGAAAAGAGTTGTGCACAATATTAGTCTAAAACGCTACTGTTAAGATGCATACTGTACCAGAAATATGATCTAATCCGGGAAATGTAGTCATGCTGTTTTATATTGTCCACTATTTAGGATGGACCGTGCTAAAGCCTCACCATATAGTATCCCGGGAGCAGCTTCTGCAGGAACTCCGCCTCTTTGTGCATGACGGTTTTGAGGATGAATTCATCGTCTCGAGTGACGTAGAAAATAGAGCCGCTGGCACCCGGGTTCGAGAGCTCGATTAAGGGTTCATTACAGAGAGAATACTGCAGAAACAGAAGCACACGCAGAGAGAAACACAACGGCCGTCAGAGGATACTGCATTTCATCTGATTAATGGTTATAAAGCACTTTATTATGTTATGTTATTTACCCTACCTCTAAACCTGCCCATCACAGAAAACTTTCTGCATTTTTGGAAATTAACAACAACAACAACAAACACACTGTTCAGAATGTGTTTTAAGCCGTTTGGTTTACGAAGATACAGGAAGTGTGTCCATGTTTATTACGTTGTAATGCCCATGTCATAATACACATTTGTGTCCTCATAAACCATTTATACAAGAACACACACACACACACACACATACACACACATACACACACACACACACACAGTGGATATCTATTATTTTAAGTGCTTAGAAAGGAAAGTATTAGTGTGCTAATCACCATCTGTCTCAGGTTGCGTGTGTGTGTGTTCATGTGTGTGTGTGTGTGTGTGTGGTCCTGGTATTCCCTATGTTGTGAGGACCAAATGTCCCCACAGGTATAGTAACACCAGTAAATGTTGAGCCCCATGAGGAAGCAATCTTATAAATTATACAGAATGATCTTTTTTTTTTGAAAATGTAAAAATGCAGAAAGTTGTGTCTGATGGGTAGGTTTAGGGGTCGTGTTAGTGTGTGTGTGTGATGGGTAGGTTTAGGGGTCGTGTTAGTGTGTGTGTGTGTGTGATGGGTAGGTTTAGGGGTCGTGTTAGTGTGTGTGTGTGTGTGTGATGGGTAGGTTTAGGGGTCGTGTTAGTGTGTGTGTGTGTGTGTGTGTGTGATGGGTAGGTTTAGGGGTAGTGTTAGTGTGTGTGTGTGTGTGTGTGATGGGTAGGTTTAGGGGTAGTGTTAGTGTGTGTGTGTGTGTGTGTGTGTGTGTGTGTGTGTGTGTGTTGGGTAGGTTTAGGGGTAGTGTTAGTGTGTGTGTGTGTGTGTGTGTGTGTGTGAGATGGGTAGGTTTAGGGGACGGGTTAGTGTTTGTGTGTGTGTGTGAGAGTGATGACTAGGTTTAGGGGTCGGGTTAGTGTGTGTGTGTCTGTTATGTGTGTGTGTGTGTGTGTGTGTGCGTGTGTGTGTGTGTGTGTGTGTGTGATGAGTAGGTTTAGGGGTTGTGTTAGTGTGTGTGTGTGTGTGATGAGTAGGTTTAGGGGTCGGGTTAGTGTGTGTGTGTGTGTGTGTGTGTGTGTGTGTGTGTGTGTGTGTGTGTGTGTGTGTGTGTGTGTGTGTGTGTGTGTGTGTGTGTGTGTGTGTGTGTGTGTGTGATGAGTAGGTTTAGGGGTCGGGTTAGTGTGTGTGTGTGTGTGTGTGTGTGTGTGTGTGTGTGTGATGAGTAGGTTTAGGGGTCGGGTTAGTGTGTGTGTGTGTGTGTGTGTGTGTGTGTGTGTGATGAGTAGGTTTAGGGGTCGGGTTAGTGTGTGTGTGTGTGTGTGTGATGAGTAGGTTTAGGGGTCGTGTTAGTGTAAGAGGAGAGAATATACAGTTTATACAGTATAGAAATCATTACGTCTATGGAGAGTCCCCACAAAGATAGCAAACTAGACATGTGTGTGCATGTGTAAGTGTGAGTGTGTCTGTGTGTATGTGGGCTTATAAAGTGGCCATGTGCTTTCCCACAGCTAATATGTTTAAGTTTCATTTAAGCTCCAGACTCTCATATCATAATTACGCATTAACCTTCCCATGACCCTCAGCTCTGCCCTATATGAACTTTTCACCCTCAGTGATTCTCCAATATAGAGTGAAGATCCAAACCATTCAGCTCCAGTATGAACATTACAACATGTGATTCAAAGCAAAAAAGTTGAGTATTTGAAAAATCATAAAATAAAGAAAAATGGATCAAGATTGCGTATTACTTATTTTTTTAAGTGAAAATTACGAATTATTATATTTTATTCAAACATACACTAGTGTTTAAAAGGTTTTTTTTTTAAAGAAATTATTACTTACATGCAGCAAGGACATATTAAATTGATAAAAATTGACAGTAAAGACATTAATAATGTTACAAACGATTCTATTTTAAATAAATGCTGTTCATTAGAACTTTCTATTCATCAAAGAATCGTGAAAAATAATTTTTCAATGTATCCGATATTCCCTAAAGTTAAATTCGCAACTTTCATACTTCAATAAAACATATGTGAGATCTCTGGAGTTATGAAAGAGCGAAAATGGCATTTTTTACTAGTAAGAATTGAATTAGAGAGCTCTGGAATTCAATTGTTACTAGTAAGAAAGCAATTGCAGAGCTCTTTAATTCAATTGCAGAGCTCTGGAATTATACATATCTTTAATTTGTTTTTTACTTTTTACTAGTAAAAATACAATTTTGAGAGCTCCGTAATTAAAAATGAATGGAAGTCAATGGAGACATATGACTAGTAAAAATTAATTTGTAGAGCTCTCTAATTGTAATTACTACTAGTAAGAATTGAATTGTAGAGCTCTCTAATTGAATTCTTACTAGTAAAAATGCAATTACAACGAGTATCACTGGGCACAATTTAAGCTAAAAAGGCTTGCCATATCACTACCATAGTACGATGCATCGTTGAAGAAATCAACTATAGTCACGACCATAGATATCCATAATAAAGGCTAGATGTCTCGTCCGCGCCGCTGGCCAATGGAGGTCGACATCCGCACTGGCGGCCATCTTGCCACAGGCAGCTCGCTCACTCGTAACATTGTTTTAATGGTGCATGCACTTTTTAAATAACCATAACTTGCTCAATTTTCTACCGATTTTCAAACGGTTTGGTTTGTTATAAACGTCAGAGATGTAGTTATGACACTGCATACTTATGAATAATAAGTGTATAAATAAATAATCATCCAGAAATATAGCCACGTTAATAACGTTTGTAAGAAACCAACCCGTTTGTAAATCCGTCAAGATTTCAGCGAGATAAGAGTATTTGTGTTCGTGGTGATCACTCATCTTACATCAGGCACCACAGAGCCCGCCAGAAAGCTTGCCTGTGACAAGATGGCCGCCGGTGATGACGATAGAGACTCCGCCGTAAGACATCTAGCCTTTATTATGGATATCTATGGTCACGACTGTTTCCCGAAACCATATTGTCGCAAATTTCTCGTTCAACCACGTTGGTTTATGATGTCACACAGGTGTGTGAGTAATAACTACTTTTAATGAAACTGTTTGAGATAAAATTAACGCTAGATGTTTTGCTAATAAATTACAGATATGGCATCTGAGGAATATTTCTAATTTTTCTCAGTTATTTCGCTTTATTTCCAGATTCAATCATAGACTCGTTCACACACACTAGAGCTCGTTCACACACACTAGAGCTCGTTCACACACACTAGAGTTCGTTCACACACACTAGAGCTCGTTCACACACGCGCACTCTTCACAAACTGTGCTTTAAATCTCTTGACAAACTCAAAGACGTAAATGACATCTGTATGTATTGTAAATAAAAGACACAGGTTGCACTGAATGTCAGATTGCTTATTTTGCTCAAGATCGGGATTTATTGAGTCCACATGTCATGCAATCTAGAAACTCTGCTTTAACCGCAGATCGAGAGCTGTCGCTCACACACACACCTCTGCGATGCTGTTTGCGAATGTTCGTAGGAACGATGGTTTCGGGAAACACCGACTCGTTGAACTCCTGATAACGACAGAACTTGCGACCATTGGCTAACGATGCTTTCGGGAAACACATCCCTGAACGTGTCGAAGGGTGTTTTGATGAGTGTGTGTGTGACGCGTCTCACCAGATAGTCGTCGGGCCGGATGCCGAAGAGCTCTCTGAAGTAGCGGAACGCCACAGGAGCGTATGTTTTAAACCTGAAGTCTGGATAGTGATGCGCTGGCGTCAGATTACTGCCTTCACTGCGAGAAAACACACACACGAAGGACATCACATGACATCCGCATCATTTCATTCATGCTCAGTATGACTTAGGATCACATGTCACTGTTACCAAAACCACTGGTTATACTATTTTTGCTTAAAAAAAAGCTAAATTATCTAGCAATGGAGTCTTAATTCAAACAGAAACAAGATTATTTTTCTTACATACATAGAAACATAACCAACATAGAAACATAACCAACATAGATTTAGAAAGCCAACCCTTGAGAGTTTACATTTCAAGACTCAAAATTAATCAGACTGTTATTAATATTGAGATATCTAAGCTCAAACATAAAAACAAAAACAACAAATATTAAGAACATATTTATTAAATGTATAAAAAAAATATTATGTGAATTTAGGATAGCAACTTGAAACCACAACTAAAGTGTAGCCACAATTGTGGTCATGCTTCATTTTAAATCTGAGGATGATATCTCTAAAATTATGCATTTTATTAAGCCTATTGTGAGACCATGTCAGGGGAGACTTTAGAGAGGTTTTAGAGAATGCTAATATAAGATTCTCATCAAATATTTGATTGCCCTGTAAACACCCATTTACAGTCTCTGACTAATGTCTGGCGAGGAGAACTGGCCCCATTCATGTTCTTTTCATTTAATCGACCAACCTTTCACACCTCTGCCGGTATGAGACTTAATCTTCATAATTCTTATTCTTTTGTTTGAATTCAGCCATTATAGCCTGTATTGGCCATCTAAACCTCTCTGATCCCATCCTACATGATCAAGCCACCTATTATATTAAGTCTTGTTAGAAAACAAACAATTCTTGGAATTTTAAATGTGAATTTTTTTTGAAGTATTTGATTATATTCGCAGACCGAAGCGCCGGCGCCCTCAGATCACTTGGACGTGACTGTGATTACAAGAGGTAAAAACGATATAAATACTGTTCGTTTTCTCACACAAACCGCTCGTTTCGTGTCTTAGGCCATCAATGTGTACTTACATTTACGAGTCATTAAATCATGTTTAATTTGGACTTCTCTGTGCATGCTCTTTGAGGTGGTGACCATAGACCTGCATTATATGACTGACAGACAAGAACGGTTTGACCTAAAAATATCAAAATTGAAAATACTGCGGAAACAAAGACACCTACATCTTGGATGCCCTTGAGGTAAGCTAAAACACACCAAAAATTTATTTCAAAGTGAACTATCCCTTTAAATGGCTTTATGTACTTACATTGGAATTAATAATTTGATACAATGGATTTATTGTGTATATACATGTTTTTACATTGTACTTATATTTTAAAAATACCAGCATGTAATTACAGCTGTAATTAATTTATGTAATTACATATCACATATCAATAGCAGCAAAAGTGTTTTACAATACAACATGAACACAAAAAATACATTGTACTTATTTTTCGATGTAAGTACATACTTAATTTAAAGTGGGACCGATAATTTTGCATGTTTTAAGCAAAAACTCACTTAATTTTGATTTATTTCCCCAGAAAACAAGACATAATATCTTATTGCATGTTACTCATCTAGTATATTTGTAATTATATTCTATATTTGAAATGGAAACAAGACAAAAATTCCAAGTAAGAAAAGCTTTTTTTGCAGTGTGAAGAGGTGGTTTATATATTATATATATATACACTCACCGGCCACTTTATTAGGTACACCTGTCCAACTGCTCGTTAACACTTAATTTCTAAGCAGCCAATCACATGGCGGCAACTCAGTGCATTTAGGCATGTAGACATGGTCAAGACAATCTCCTGCAGTTCAAACCGAGCATCAGTATGGGGAAGAAAGGTGATTTGAGTGACTTTGAACGTGGCGTGATTGTTGGTGCCAGAAGGGCTGGTCTGAGTATTTCAGAAACTGCTAATCTACTGGGATTTTCACGCACAACCATCTCTAGGGTTTACAGAGAATGGTCCGAAAAAGAAAAAACATCCAGTGAGCGGCAGTTCTGTGGGCGGAAATGCCTTGTTGATGCCAGAGGTCAGAGGAGAATGGCCAGACTGGTTCGAGCTGATAGAAGGGCAACAGTGACTGAAATAACCACTCGTTACAACCGAGGTATGCAGCAAAGCATTTGTGAAGCCACAACACGCACAACCTTGAGGCGGATGGGCTACAACAGCAGAAGACTCCACCGGGTACCACTCATCTCCACTACAAATAGGAAAAAGAGGCTACAATTTGCAAGAGCTCACCAAAATTGAACAGTTGAAGACTGGAAAAATGTTGCCTGGTCTGATGAGTCTCGATTTCTGTTGAGACATTCAGATGTTAGAGTCAGAATTTGGCGTAAACAGAATGAGAACATGGAACCATCATGCCTTGTTACCACTGTGCAGGCTGGTGGTTGTGGTGTAATGGTGTGGGGGATGTTTTCCTGGCACACTTTAGGCCCCTTAGTGCCAATTGGGCATCGTTTAAATGCCACGGCCTACCTGAGCATTGTTTCTGACCATGTCCATCCCTTTACGGCCACCATGTACCCATCCTCTGATGGCTACTTCCACCATGTCACAAAGCTCTAATCATTTCAAATTGGTTTCTTGAACATGACAATGAGTTCACTGTACTAAAATGGCCTCCACAGTCACCAGATCTCAACCCAATAGAGCATCTTTGGGATGTGGTGGAACGGGAGATTCGCATCATGGATGTGCAGCCGACAAATCTGCGGCAACTGTGTGATGCCATCATGTCAATATGGACCAAACTCCCTGAGGAATGCTTCCAGCACCTTGTTGAATCTATGCCACGAAGAATTGAGGCAGTTCTGAAGGCAAAAGGGGGTCCAACCCGTTACTAGCATGGGGTACCTAATAAAGTGGCCGGTGAGTGTATATATACTGTATATACGCTTGACAAACTCCTGTACGCTCCACTGCACACTGAACAAGGAAAAGACACAAGAAGTAGTTTTACATTTTTCAAATCCGTGTGTAGTTTGGTGTGTATGTGGCTAATAATTTGATGTTTGTGTGTAGAGTCACTATGCAAAAACACCATTTTTGGAAGAGCTTAAATAGTTTTGAATGAAGTGTTTGGTTTTGCAAGAGATGTCTGATGTTTTGCATGTTGTGTGTGTGTGTGTGTGTGTGTGTGTTTTGGAGCCATATTGAGATATATTTTCAGAGATTGGGTCTCATTCATGAAACATTAATAAATATACGAGTAAATATGAGAGTGATTTGCGCGTAAAGAGACCTTCCCGAAAACTCATCTCCTGATTCACAAATACTTCGTAAACGTCAGATGTGATAGTGAAATGTGTGTGTGTGTGTGTGTGTGTGTGTTAATGAATTCCACTCAGTCGTAAATGGGACGCGCGTGCACGCTCATTCTCAATTACCATAAATCCCGCCCATTAAATCCGACTGACAACTATATATGGGCATCATATTATGACACCGAACGAAGGATTTCAACATGTCTTCTCAAAAGCGAATGAAAAAGAAAAAATTCTCAGATGCAGAAATCGAAGTTTTTATTATCAGAAGTTCATTCAAAACACCACATTTTATCTTCAAGCGTAGACTACATAGTGGCGTATCAGGTCCTAAATAAAGCAAGCATATTACCAGAGCCGGACAGTAACGGAGTACATTTACTTGAGTACAGTACTTAAGTACAATTTTGAGGGATCTGTACTTTACTCGAGTATCATTTTTGGGGAGAACTCATGACTTTACTCAAGAACATTTGAGAGGCAAATATTGTACTCTTTACTCCAATACATTTCTATCCATAACCGTGAGTACCTGAGTAAAAAAAAAAAAAAGTAAAGAAAAATCTCGGAAACCCTCAATTTGTTGTTTCCCTCTCAAACGTGATTGGATTGTGCAGGCGCCACTGATTGGGACAGCCTATCAGCAATCACTTTCAGCTTTCCGCCAAAGTCAACTCCATGGTCAGATTTTATATTACACATTAATGTAAGCCAAGCATTTGGTTTGATGTTCTTGAGTATGTGGTGTGTTTAACACAGTCAGGTTCAAATGTGGCAGTGGCGTAGCCACGAGGGATTTCTGATTTCTTAAAAAAAAACTTTAGGAGGCAAAATATATTTTTACTGATTATGTGAATTACACTGCGCAAACCAAAGTAGGCTTCTACCCAGCGAATGAAGAAGGGTTGGCGCTCAGTCTCCACAGTACATAAAATATTAATTTTGTTTTATTTTATTTTTCGGGTTTGCATTTATGAGGAAAAAACAATGTTATGGACGTGTTCTCCGTTACGGACGTGAGCGCTCTGAAAGCGGCATAAAAAATGCTTTAAAACTTTCACAGAGACATCAAACAGAAAACACAAAACCTTTCTTTAACCTGAATTTCGTTTTGCATTAATTGTATCTTAAGTTGAATCAATGTTTCATCAACCAATTGCCTGGGTTTAATAAATAAGAAGTAAATAGCAGACGATAGATAAGAAACGGAGGCGCCGGCACGTGAACTGGATCTCGTCTCATAAATGAACCGAAACTCAGTGTATAAGGTAGCCTACTTGCCTCTCACAGACATGTCTACATTTAAAGTAACAACAGGTAGCTTTTGCTCTCGGGGTCCCCCTACAGTTGGGAAACAGTATTGTCCTCTACTACTGTCGTAAACTCTGTCATCCTACATGCACGTGCAATTGTTGACAAGCATGATAGCCCTGAACATTGTAGGAGGAGGTCACATGCAGGTGTTCTGCTTGCGTCGCGTGTGAAATGTCTTCATCCCAGGTACAGTGGCATATATTTCAGCATGTCATATGAATATAATTTCATGGGTTTTATTTTTTTTCTAACGACAAATGATCGCGATGCTCACGTTTACAAGCCAGCGTCATTATATAGTAGCCTAGTCTATTGGTTACCGTTTACTGAATCTATATGATACTTCAATGCAATGTTTGAGTGGTAGATAATAACCATATATCGTCAATATTATAATATCAAGCTACCATAAATGAATCTGCAAATTTTACAAATCAATTTGCATTATAGCTTGAGGCAAGACAAATAAACAAATATCACAGACATGTTAGGTATCCTAAAATATGATTTTATTAATAATCTTTCTCCTTTCTTTGTACATGTTGAGTAGACTACACTTTTTAGGTCAAACATTTGCTATTTGCATTTCATCGATTGCAAAGTTCAAATCAGAACGAGAATACTAGCGATAGCTAACCATCAAAAACTAGAATATCGTTTACTAGCTACCAGATTGATAATTCGCTACTAGTCTAGCGAATTTGAGAGGTTAGAGAGAGGCATTCTTTTTTCGATGGGGGGTTCGATGCTCCCTGCACACGCAAGGTCTCTCGCTCGCTTTCTCTCTCTGCCGTCCGCGCGCGTTGGAGCACAGTCTCTGTCTCGCGTGCGCGCTCGCTCTAGATTCCGGGAGATTTGAACTAATTTGCGGTATAACTTGTCGATCACGAGTGGCTCAACAGGTAGAGATCTATAGATAAACTCATCTTTCAGGCATTTGACCGACCGGGTTGACAATTTAGCGTGAGAAACCGGGGGTGTGGCGTGTGAGCGTGTGAAACCAATCAAATGCGGGTGTCTCACGGCCAATGCGTGAGAGTTGGCAGCTCTGCAATGTTGATCCTCGTTCTGCCTTTAACGCGATCACTTTCTCTTTTTCTCTTTTTGCTTTGCTCCGATAAAACCTTTGCTTTCTTGTTTTTCTGTGCTGCTTCGGCCATGACTATAACATTTGGCTCGCAAGTCCGATTTTAAGGAAGTGGGGGTGGTGGTGGAAGTGACGTATATGCCGTAAAGCAGTCGAATTTTGTAGTTCTCTTTGTTCGCCGGTTACTACCCGAAACCCGAAGTTTAAAAGTATGATTAAAAACGCTACAGACCCCGTCAGGCTATGGCAGACGTGTCATTCAACCTATTGTAAGTCGATGTACCATCACAAGAGACTTGGAAATATATTATGAAGGTTGAAAAGTTACCTGTTGTTACTTTAAACAGAAAAATTCAAAACGAAAGAAAACAGACTACAGACTGCTCTCTGCTTATGTAATCCGTATGAAATGTGCATTTCTCTCTGGCGCGTTCACTACTGAAGATAGCGAGTCAGCATCGTCAACTTCATCTAGCCGACACTGACAAAGAAAACACTTGTTTATTAACAAGTGTTTATTAATAAACAATTAAAATATCTCCTTGCTATATTTTACATATTCATAATCATTACTTTTGCCGGTTCTTTGTGACAGCTTTTAGGTGCTTTATTGGCAGCGCCACCCTTACATGTGGTGTGTGTGTGTGTGTGTGTGTGTGTGTGTTGTCCCCGCATTTAAAGATGGGACCCCCCAAAAATTTAATTAAATTAAATAAAGCAACATGGTAAAAAGATGAAAATGACTTGATTTTACTTTCAATTCCTTTTACATTCTCCAAGGTATTAACATTAACATTTTTCATAACTCCATGTAGGATGTTTCTGTGCATAAATGTAAGCACTGTGGCAGTAGATTAGTAATGCAATATTTAGAAAATCTACTCTTGTACTCTTGATACTCAAGTACTTTTAAAAACAAGTACTTTAGTACTTTTACTTAAGTAGACATCTGAATATAGTACTTTTACTTGTACTTGAGTAAAATTTAGCAAGGGGTATCTGTACTTTTACTCGAGTAACAAAGCTCTGTACACTGTCCGCCTCTCCATATTACAGATGCAGTTAATGGAGTTTCATCTGATAATCAAACAGTCCCAGAAGTAAAAAGAAAAACCGCATGTAATTACTATATATAATATTTTTTCAAAATGCTTTGTAAATATGTACCCGATTAGGTTAATTAAAATACAGCCTTAGTTATTAATGAGCAAAACATTCGGATGTTAAATTCACTATTTACGCGTGGCTGGGAGCAGGTGTAGATTTCTTTCCTACCAACTAACATTTGGAAAATACGAACATTTTATTAAATCCGAAAATTTACGCCAGAACCACTTCACACACGATTCACACAAAAATTCGTTCTGCTCGTGTTTCATGAATGAGACCCAATGTGTGTAAGCAATTAGAAAAAAGTGTAAAGCCCTGGCCCTGCTCAGACTGACCTGGGGAAGAAGATGCTCTCCACCACGTAGAAGTCTTGCATGAGGACGTCCCGCTCGGGTTTGGAGCTCAGGTTCCCCACGGTGTATCCGATGCCCAGCTGAATGGCTCCTTTCAGGGCAGACGAGGTCGTCTGAAGACACACGACACTCAGACTCTCTGACACCAGTTAAACATCACACAAAATCACTGGATATCAGGAGGGACGACACAAGAGCAAGCTTTCCTGGAGCTCAAACACTAGAGCGCTGGCGCTTGCAACGCCAAGGTCACGGGTTCGATTCCCAGGGAAAGCAAGAACTGATAAGAATGTAAATGTGTACCTTGAAATCCTATGTAAGTCGCTTTGGATAAAAGCGTCTGCCAAATGCATAAATGTAAATGTCAGAAGGATACAAATGATCAAATAGTAAACTACAAATATAAGCACAGAATGTTTATTATATATATATATTTTTTAAAATATATAAAAAATAGTTCTGTCAAATCCATCAATCGCAACATTAAATTTTGTGCTTATATAATATATTTGTGTATATATATATAAATGTGTGTGTGTGTATATACACACACAGACACACACACATACACATTTATGTATACTGTATATGTATACATATACTGTATGTAAGTATATAGCCACATACAGTATATATAGTATATATATATATACACTATAGTATTTAGTATATATATATATATAGTATACATATACATACAGTATATATAGTATATATACTATAGTATTTAGTATATATACATATATATATAGTATACACATATATTACAAAATATATTACACAAATTTTTGTCAGATGCGATTAATCTATTTGACAGCACCAAAAAATATTATTTTTATACAAAATATATAAATATTTTTTATAATATAAATACATAATAAATAAAAAATCAAATATAAAATAAATATAACTATATGTTTATTAAAATAAAAATATATACATATATAAAATAAGAATTGTATATATTATATTTTTTTAAATATAGATATTTGTATATAAAATATATAATTATATATTTGGTAACAATTCACAATAAGGTAGCAATGAGTATTATATTTGTTAATAAATTATAAATTAATTAATTAATTAAAATACAACAATGTTTATTGTTAATTCATGTTAACTCCATTAAATAATATTAACAGACACTTTAACTTTGTATTTGAATAATGTATTAGTAAATGCATTACTGAAGTTAATGTACCAAAAACTGAGGCGCTAAAAGTTTAAAGCACCGTTTCCATTTATAACGCAATGTCCAATTACAAAACAGTGCTTAAGCTTTCATTAATTATGATTAGTAAAATATGTGACGCGAAAAAGGCAATGACAAAGCGTTACCAGGAAGAAAATAGATTTCCAATGCAGACACTTTTGGACCCAACTGTATATATATATCAGCATCCTGAAGGAAAAGATGAGAGAAACTGTGAAGAAGGACTGAGACTGAGACGCACCTTCTTGTACGTGGTCTCGCCGGACGCATCGACTCGCCTGTGGCCAATCTTCTTCTCGAGGCCAGAGACGGGCTGACACGAGGACGACGGCATCTGAGGAGACACACACTGATCATCTGAGGAGACACACACTGATCATCTGAGGAGACACACACTGATCATCTGAGGAGACACACACTGATCATCTGAGGAGACACACACTGATCATCTGAGGAGACACACACTGATCATCTGAGGAGACACACACTGATCATCTGAGGAGACACACACTGATCTGATCCTGAGATCATCTGAGCTGCTATACAACATTACATCTCATTCAGTTCTGAAACCTCAGATCAATAACATATGAAGCACTTAAGCGTTTAACTCTTCTCAAGATTGCATGCAGTAAAACTGTAGTTTTATGATGATATATGGATGATGAATGATGCTTCACCTCGGTTAAGTGTGTCTTCTTAAGAGCAGCGTCTGAAACGACAGCAAGAGAAAGATATTAATGACAAGAATCCCATATAGGTCATAAATGTAATTAAATGCAGGTAGACGTCTTTGCTAATAAAACAATAAAAAATTACTTAAACTACATAAAAGTCTGAGAAAATGTTCAGAACGCTTTGTTTTTAAAACTACAATGTTGTCACACAACCTCATTAGGCCAACAAAAATATATCCTCAGAACATTTAGCCATTAAGCTATGGAAACATTTTTACGAATGTTCATTGAAAATTCCAAAAATCCAGTATTCTAAACGTTTAAACAAAAAAACAAAATCTTGGTTATGCAAACATTACAGAAACATTCCATTTCAACGTTCAAATATTATTGTAAAGTTACATTTGAAAGTTCTCTGAGCGTTCAAAACATCCAGTTTTTAAATGTTTCGAAAATGTTTTTTCTTGGCTAGACGAACATTCCATTTGAACATGAAACATTATTGGAATGTTACGTTTGAATGTTCTCTGAACATTCTAAAACCAGTAACATTTAAAAAACATCAGAAAAAAAAAGGTTCCATTAATGATGTATACGTGTTCTGTGCTGACATCATCCCTGGTGACATCACTGATGATGCGTCTAGCTTGCACCTGTCAGGTGTGTGTTCACATCAGAGAACGTTCCCTGTCAGCTGGCAGTTGATTCATCAGTTATGATCTCAGAAATAAATATGCTCATTTCACATTTCATATGCAATTTTATAATTAAATAATGAATCTAGAAAAAGTGCTTTACATTTCACTAGCTCGTCTCACTAGAAGTGCAAGGTCAAGTCAAGTGCATTGCCTTGTGGGATACATTACCCACTCAGTGTAGTCTGTTGTAAACTGCACATTTTGGGAACTATAATAGGTCACAGAGAAAATATGCATACTGTGCATAACTGCAACAAACACACTGCAAAAAGAGTATTCTGAACACACACTGTTAATGTGTGAATAACAGTCCAAGGACAACCGGCGTGAGTCTGCGGCTCTCTGATGCCTGGCAGTCATTTCACGCTGCGCTTCTCACACACATGTTTCACTGCACTCAAGGGGAGGGGGCGGAGCTACTGACAAGCCAACCTGTCAATCATTCCTCGCAGAATTAAGGCAAGATAACAGAACGCTAGTGAGAGCTGACGTGCGTTACACCCGAGACCAGCGGGATGTGTTTCATAGCTGGGAATTACAGAATAATTAGAATTAGAATAATTAGAATAACACGTGTATAGCTCATATTTTTTGTGCAAAATCTAAAGACAATTATATTTTTCATAAAGAAACCCTGGTAAGCCACTGTGCTTTTTAAAAGTTTGCATGTATGAAATTCAAGTTACAAGCCCTTTCAAAAAGCCCCTTGGACTCTACGATCGGCGGAAGTAACCCAGCATCCTTAGACCTTCACCGGAAATACCGCCGTGCAGATAGAGCCCATTATCAAAGCCATTATCCACCGTATTCCTACGCCCCATGATGCTTTGCGCGAATTATGGGTGTAACTTCCGTTAAGCTGTAAACAATCAGTGAAAGGCTCGCTCTATGAACGCACTACGTTAAAAAAGTGTCACAATGAGATGACATTAATCGACTCACCCTTCAACCATCGAACATTAAAATGAAATTTAAAAGTTTGAAAAAACAACAACAAGGTCAACAGACCAAAAATAGCACCAAAAGCGCGAGTCTTTGGTTAAAGGGATACTCCACTTTTTTTTGGAAATAGGCTTATTTTACAACTCTATACTTTCATTCCTGGGTAATAATCAAGAAACTTCACTGCCGTACCATGAGAACAGCAGGCGTACTGATATGACGCAGCGCCTGAAAATAGTTCCGTTGTGTTGACAGAAGGTGGACTATTTTCAGGCGCTGCGTCATATCATTACGCCTGCTGCACTCATGGTACGGCAGTGAAGTTTCTTGATTATTACGCAGGAATGAGAGTATAGTTCCTAGCCATATCAGCCTAGAAAATCGCAACTTTACATTTTCCGTCGGTCTTAGTGCACGATGTAACTACAGAAGAGTCAAGTTTTAAATAGGAAGAATATCGAAACTCTTTGGTAATTTTTTTTTTTTAGAAATGCTAATGGTCTTGTCCACTTCAATGATGTATGCTAAGCTATGCTAAAAGTGGTACCGCCAGAACCGGAGATCGGCTGAATGGATTCAAAAACGGTAAAACTCAACAGTTTAACTCTGGGGGAGTTGTAAAATGAGCCTATTTCCAAAAAAGTGGAGTATCCCTTTAAATATCACTGTAGTAGGCAAATATATTGTATAACAAGCCTTAAACAAAAATGTTCATTAACTTCAGCATTACGTAAAGTGATTTCCGTCATTTTAACAGATTATAAATTGCATTTACCCGTGAAAACAAACCTGGAAAGAGACGTGAGGATTTGAGGAGAATAACGAGAGATTCTTCGTGCATTCCAGTGAATTATGGAATATCGTAAATTAAATTCGGGAGAACAGACCACAGATGTGCCGTATATGTTGTACTTTTTCATACTTTTACAGCGGATTGCAAAGGAAAAAATAAAATCATCATGAGTAAAAGATACAGCGACTGAAAAGAGCTCTTGCCGTAGATATTAACATGTCACGTTAAAATACCAAGTATAACGTTATTCTCATGATGTCTGAAAATAAATCATGAAGGAAAATTGACAGCTCATCCAGTCAAACTAACGGATCAGCTTTATTTGTGGGGCAACCTTATGATTTGAAATGATTCGTTTCAGCCTTTTTGAATGGAAGTTCCCCAAAACCGGAAGTGCCACCCATCTATCTATCTATAAATTACAGGAACGTCTGTCTGTCTGTCTGTCTGTTAATCGCATATCTCTCGAACCGTTTGTCCGATGGATCTCAAACTTGACAAGTGTCTTGCTACGGGCACGAGTAAGTGCAGTGCCGAGTTTGACGTTGTTTGGATAAGAAATGCAAAAGATATCGCTAAATATATCGCTAAAAGAAGCACACAATGGTTTTTGCCGCTCTAGCCGCTGGCCACTCCCCCTCTCACACTGCACACTGAGTGAGCACAGCGCAGGACCAGAGACAGAGGGACGAAGAATGCAGATTTGCTCCCTGAATCGTCGCGCTTATTCATTTGTTAACTGAATCTGTAAGTCAGGCAGCTACGCGTTCGCAGTCTCTTTCACGGCCATCATTTGTAGTAAATGCTATTAACGTTATGTGTCATGCACGCTGAAGTTAGCATGTATATGTTAACTATGTGATGTTTAATGTGCTATGTTAACTATGTGATGTTTAATATGCTATGGTAAATAGTTGCCCTGTCTATTCAACAGTATATAGCAGGCTTTAACGAGCTTAACGAGTATAGTAATCCAGAGGGGTTTCACGACGCGTCATCAATCCGGAAGTCGGCCATTTTGGAGGCACAGAACGTAAATAATGCCATTGAACTGAATGGACTCGCAAATTTGGCTGATTATTGCTGCTGAAAAATGGTCGAGTTTTGGTCTGTACCAATCGGTCACATCGGGAAAAAACATGTCGAGTGCTATAGACTGTCAAAAGTTAAAGAGAAGAGTGCAAAAAACGTATTAAAATAAGGCGTTTGTGGTTGAGAGAGGTACAGCATCAGACACATGTAGCTGCTAAATGATGAAGCGTTGACTATGGCTAAAATGTCGACCTAGTTAACTATGGCTACATTCAGACTGTCAGTCCAAATCCGATTATCTTTGTATCAAATTGGAATCTGATCTAAAATGATGTCCACACTGTGTATCGCAACTGTTCAGATCCGACGTGTGTGTCCATGCATGTTATTTGGTAATATGGCAATGACTTTGCGTTGATAAGGGGGTTGCATTTGCAATACAATGTTAGATGTTGTCTTTTTTTAAATGTTACAAATGGAAATGTGTAGCCGCCGCGCTGGACTACTGCGGCAGAACTGTAGGAGGCTGCATGTACGGCTTTTTTCCCACGCTCGTCTGCGCCGGTTTCAGAAATAATAATTTTCTGCTCGTCCGGCACTTTGCAACAACACAGCATTATTTCGACAGTGACTTTCAGCATGTTTCCTATAAATGACGTTTGCATTTTAAGACATACCACGCGAAATCCGATCGTTCAGACTGAGGCTGATGTCCTGATATGTGATTTGAATAGGATTTCAAACCACGGATGTAACTTGAAACGGATTTCATGTGCTTTTTTGGACTGACAATCTGAACGTATCCTATGTCGGTATTATAATAAATAGATGGAAGAATTGCAGTAATGTTACGTGCTAGAGAACCTAACTCGTTCGGATCTTTACCACATATTAACTTTAGTTTGTCAAAATGTTGCGCTCTCTCCTGCTTCCCAAGTCCTTCTCTATATGATTTCGCACCTACCACGTGTTTTTTCCGTGGTTTATTAGTGTAACAATGTGTTCAGTAGTACATAAACAGTGCAATCCATGCTGTTGTTTACATCCGAGTGCCTCCATAATGGCCGCGCATCCGGGTTACCGCCCAGAACGTGACGTTGGTGAAACCCCTCTATACCGATCGTGTGACAGCAAATCTATGAAGGTAAAATGATGACATAAAGAATCGCATGCACAGGGTAAGATTTGTGAAAGCGTACATAAGATTGCAAGCGTAAATTAAATTTGCATGTGCAAGAGAAGATTTGTAAAGGTGTAAATCGCCCTTCAAGTGTAAGAAAAAAATATTTGCAGCATTTAACTGTTATTCGTAAGTGTAATTCATGCATTTTGAAGTTGCAGCTTCATGCTAATGCAAAATAAATAGGATCTGTATTCTTCAAACTTTAATTTTTCCGCGCTTATACTTTTGGCACGGTTTTTGCGCACAAATGCGGCCAAAAGCACTGCAAGCCTGTGAACAGCAATTTGCAACCGAAAACAACAGAGGCAGGAACTGCAAAACAGATTAACTGCGTAAAAGTTTACAAGCGTAGCTGTTTTTACTTCTTAATATATTATTTAATTCTGG